TCCACTGAGCTACCTCACTGACCCTACTTACTATATTTTTTAAACGTAGAAGTAGGAAACCACTTACCTGTGGACACACTCCACTGTGTTTTTCTGCCATACCTCAGGTGAACCAGCCACCCAGAGCCCGCAACCCACCCTCCTATGCTTTGGGGCTTTCACTCTCCTGGCCCCCTGTCACTGAGCCTAACTACCCAGTATCATACAACTGCAGGCAGCCTCGCTCTTTCAGGGCTGGTAAAGTTACTCAAACCACCCAATCATCAGCCTGTTGGTCCTGTTTCACTTGTTACTACAAGAACCACACACACATGAAAAATATTCACATCCACATTTTCTCCTCGTTTCCTCCACCTCCTGACTGACCCTGACACTCACCCTGTGCCTCTCATGGGGTGGCGTGTTCTTTCCTCTTGGGGGTTGTGAGTAACACCTGCCTTTTAATGGTGGTGTCTCCAGATCTATTGATCTCTGAATATTCAGGCTGGCTATTCCTAGTAATAGAACATATATTTTAAAACACTAACCTCTAAATATGATGTCTCCTAAGCTCACTGTTTGGTTTACTCTGCTTTCTCTACTCTGGCTATGCCCTGTGGATGTATCCAGTGAGTGATGTGTTTATTATCAGCTCTACAGTGATGGCTTACAAAATGAGGTCCCTGCATCCCCTTAGCACCCTACATAACACAGCGGCACTACTGCCCGCAGAGCCTTCTGGCCTTCTGGCCTTTTCTTCTCTGTAGCCTGCCTCATCTTCCCTTTTCCACCTCACATGTAGAAGCAGCATGAGAAATCCATTGAAATCCTTAACTTCTGGAGGGGCTGTGTGCACAGTCTCTGACCCGGAAGCTCAAGTTCAGAGTTGCCATTCCTCTGACCCTAGCCCACCCTTTGTGCTTCCAACTTCTATTGCATTCTCAGGATACCAAGAGAAGAAGAAGTACTAGCTGGGTAAACAAAATATTTTTTGAGTATTTGTCAAAACTTTTTCACAGTGGAACTTGGCACAAATTTTGTGTTTGGAGCATAGGGGAAGAAATTTTCCATTTATCTCTTTAAGTTGTTTTTAGACAAGATGTTATAAAATCAGCTGTTCTGATCCCGAGGAAGCACTGAGCCCTCCAAAGTTTCTAAAATTTCCATTGTTTATAGGCAAGGCTCATCCCAGGTGTGGGAACAGATCGCCTAGCAGAGTAACTCTATATTTAAGAGCAGCACAGGAATTGAACTATTAGATTTGGTTGCATTAGCATTTGATACACAGCTGTTTAATTAAATATTGAGCATTAATCTTTACATCCTAAAAATAAATTTTAAAAATGATACCAGCAATTTCTGGTTTTATGTAAGGTAAGGTTAGCTTAGTGCATCTCTGTGTACCCTGGACCTTTAATGAAATTTGTATCATTCACAGTTTGCTATTCTCGGGTAAATTCACTGTCAGAATAACAGTAGCCTCAAATTATATAAAAATGAAAGGTATTTATGTTTATGATATTGAGATCTAAAAAAAAAAAAAAAGCACTAATTCACATTCTTCTGCCAGATTACTTTTTCTTTATCACAGGAATTTGCTTTGTTCAGTGAAACAGTCCCCTCCAGAATATTGGTATCATGGGCAGGAAGAATGGGAAGATGATGATCAAGGGTCCAGACTTGTAGTTCTCACTTGAGCACGTCCTGGGGAGCCAATGCGTGGCATAGATAGTGGCACCAGTCACTGTACAATGTGTAAGGAAATCAAATTGCCGCATAGCGCATCTTGAACGTATGTAATATTAAGTATAAATAAAAGAAAACTTACATTGAATGTGATAGGAAGTCATTCAAGGATTTGGAACAGAGGTAAGACATGCCCTAACTGATACACTGGCAAGACTGCTCTGGCCCCTGGACTCAGCTTTGAGATGCTGTAGCTGGGACCACAACGGGAGTGATGGGGGGGTGGGAGGGAGAATGGGAGCTACCCTAAGGCCCTGAAGGAAGAACGAGAAGATCTCAAGATGGATATAATGCAGAGGATATGATAGGGGTTGGGACAGAGGTCAACGGTGACCTTTAACTGGAAAGAGAGTTGCCCTCAGTTAAGGTGGGGAAGACTTTAAGAAGGGCAGAGCACTTTGTTTTGCTATTTCCTTTTGGAGTGACTAGAATGATGATGTGTCCCGTGTACTGGTTAGAAGGGCAAGCGCAGAGGCCGGTAGGTTTTTGCCATCCCTGTGTCCTTACAGCAGTGTCCTTAGACCTTGTAAGACGTCAGTCTCTAGCACCAGGACTCAGCCATTCCCTTAAAGTCAGCAGAGGCTCTGAGAAGCACCCCTGGCTTTCCCAACAGGATGCCTGCTGGCACAAACTCTTGGGGACAGGAGCTCCTCCTTGGGAAGCTCTCTTTCTGTCATGATCACTGCAGCCATCGGATGATTCCAGCCAGCTTCCCTGCTAGGCTTCTCTAACCTTAGACTTAGAAGCAGCGCACCTTCCCTCTTCTATTCACTGAACAGCACAGTTCCTTTCAATAATAATGGAAAATATGCGGATATCATCCTTGATTTTGTGTGTGTCCTCTCTGTTTCATTACCTACTTTGATCTGGTGAGAACTTCATGTTTCCTCTGCTGTACTGATGTGTATCCACACACTTAACAATCAGTATTCATCTACATTTTGTAAAAATACATTGAATGGGAGATGGATCTGATATTTTGGGGCATTTTGTCAAAGAGCTGGGGAGAAGAAAAAGGTACAAAGTGGCTGAGGCGATGAGAGCAGGAGAGTAGCCAAATGCTCACCTCCTCTCTTCCACCCTTCTTCCCTGTCAGGCTCTTTGGCCATTTGTGTGCGACCACCAGTCCTGGTCCGCTGAGCTTCCCCTACTGTAGGTGAGATGCATGTGGAGAGAAGTTCAGGACCTGCACTGTCAGGGAGGGGCAGCAGGGCAGACTGAAGGGCAGCAGAGCTCAGGGATGGAAGAGATAGGATCTGGTGGCTGACCAGGGTGGGGACACAGGAGGGACACCCTGGAGGGCAAGAGGCAGAGCTGAGCCAGGGAGGCCAGATGTGTCAGTATATGTTAGGTTCCATTTGAGGAGCCTGTGAGATGCCCAAGTGGCTGAAAAGGAAACTCCTAGAATTGCTGTATCTGGCCACTTAAAGACAGGTTGACAAACAAGGCAGGTGGAGCGGAACTCAGGACCTGGAGGACAACTTGGGAGTTCTGGGTGTAACTCCATAAATCGTGGCGACTGAGGTGGGAAGCGTGGGCTACGGCTGCGGATGGCTCCCACAGGATCATTAGTGTCTCTTTCATGCATATTTCCTTCAGAGGCATTTTTACCAGCTCCTGTCTCCTGCTGGAAGAATGATGAAAGACAGTTTAGCTTCTGAACAGGGACTGAATTATTTGTCACTAAAGCAGCAACCGCTCAGCCGCTGCTCATGAAATAACCATTACCAGTCTGAGACACGTGAGCTTCCCTTGCAGTTTCAGTTCCTTTTGGCAGTTTATTGAAAACAGATTCATGACAGAGTCTGTGCTAGCACAGAATACCTCGTGCCCATTAACTAATCCTGTGGGTGTCTGTCAGGGTCTGAGAAACATGAAAAGACATGACCAGCCCCCGCTTCGCTCCAGAGACAGACAGGCGCAGAAGCCCTCGCGTGGCGCTCTCATCTCCGGCACACTCCGCTCTTAATTTCCTGTCAGATCTGTTCAGGCCCCTCAGCCAGATCACAGAGGCCCAGTTTGGTGGCTTAGGTTATAAAAGGTTTCAAATCTCTTCTCAGTTTATAAGGAAACCTTCTGTGTAGAGAATCTTAATAAAACTCGTTCTTTGAAATGTTCATTATTATCCAGATAACATTTTTTTTTAAATATGCTAGGCTGTACCACTCAGTTGCCGCTGTTTGTATCAGGCAGATCAGTAGCAGGCATTTGACTGGCTGCTGCATGAGTAATTGAGGTGCTTGACAGCCCTAGCACTGCCCTACCCGCACCTCGCAATTCTTGTAAAGGCAGTGGCTTGTAATTCATTACTCTGATTTAAAGGGTGTGACTTTTTTCCTGAAAGGGGGTTTAATCACATTGACAGAAGCAAGGAGTCGATGCCAGAATTGATCCAACGAGGTTTTCCTTTCTTAAAGAGTTGCTGCCCCACTGTCCTGTGTGTAGGGAAAAGCCCCTGGCCATGAAGGCCAGCACTCCAGCCAGTAGACTGTGCTTCTGGTAAGAAGGTCTCAGGGGGCATCTCCACTGAGTACGTCAAAAGTGACATTTTGGGAAAATAGACTTAGGAGACAAGATTATATGTTCAGTTTGGCATTAATCAGTTTTTTTCTTTTGACCAAACCAGGGAAAATAATGAAACTCAAAAGATTTTTTTTTTAAAGTAGGAAATTTTATATGTTAGTGAAATCTTTTTCATCAATTAAATTAAAAATATGTGTTATCATAATATGATCTTACACTGTTGTGGTTCTGGGGATGGGGCCTCTTGATGAAGGAGGTTCCTCTGGTTTTTGTATCCTTCGTATTTCCTGTCTCATTAGTAGGCCTGAAAGAGGCCATTTCACAGTAAGTTGGTTTGGGCTGTCTGATACTTGGAGAATAAAGTGCCAAATTCATATTTCTTATTTTTAGAACTTAGATTTCACATAGAATTCAAAAACATTTCAATAAGTAACTCCCTCACGTGCACCTGACCTTTTAAACATGGTCATGTCTGTGGATCAGGAGAGTGGGACTCTCATGGCCATCATTTGGAGGGTAGCACCCAGCCCTCAGGAGCCCACCGTGCACTGCAGAGACTCCTGCTAGGTATTGTGAAGGTGCAGGTACAGAGATGTCTTGCAGTAGGATTGTTTGTGGCACTTCACTGATGTTCATTATTTGCCTACTTTTATTCTTAATGGCAATACATTTTTCCCCTTCATCCTTCATAACTTGGCAGGCAAATCAGAGCAACTAAAAGCAAAGAGTAATTTGTTCTTTGTTTTTCAAAGGTCTCATCAGAAAATTGAAGATCCCGAGGAAAGCAGTGATGAAATCCTTGCCCGCCTGACATCTGCGGTAAGGCCATGTCATTTCCCTGCCTCTTCTAAGGGAGGTGGTTCCTATAGTGGTGTAAAAGGATTTGCCCTCTGGCTGTTCATCATGGTAGGAGGCCAGAGATGAGGGGAAAGAGACAATGGCTTTGACTTTCTTTGCCCTGCTGCGGCATCATATACATGATCGTAATTATTCCTGGCAGAAAATTCCTAAAGTCTTCATTGGAGACGTAGTATCTGATTGTTTTGAATCTAGTACGATTTCATCTAAGAATTGCAGCCTGCTACACAAAGGATTAAAGAGTCTGTTTCATTAGGAAAAAAAGGATCACTTCATCCAGCTAAAGGCCAGGACTTTGCTTTTTAATGCACCCAAATGCATCATTTTCATTGTGTTTTGTAAAGCCATTCATCAGACTTGGGACTAGCATTGCTCTTTGAAAGTTGATTTTGGTCACTAGTCACTGGGCTTCTTTTGACAGGCTTTATTTAGCAAACCTGTGCCCTGAAATCTTTATCCTCTGGCTTGACTGGAAGCTTTTCTAGCCTTCCCAAGGAGTCTTTAGTTCTGCTTTAGCTCCAGCCATAAAATGGTAATTGTAGAAAATTATGCTTGATTGAGCTCTGTGTGTAGATGAAACTGTCTGCAGGGTATTAACATACCAGGTCTTGTCACCTGTGCACAGCTTGAAGGATGAAAGGTTTTGCTTGAATGGAAAGCAACTTAGACAGGTAATTTTTGACTAAATATGGTGATCAGCAGTGTAAAACTTCATGTGAAATGAAATCTTAACAGTATGTTATGAAGAAATATTTAGGATAACCTTTGTAGTTTAAAATAGCAACAAAAGTGGAATTCTCTATTATATACAAAAATCCTAATTCCAAATTAAGAAATCACTTTCTGTGAGCCAGATACTATGTCAAATGCCATGTATTTACACACACATGCTCTGTTAAATGGTCCAGCAGCACTCTGAAGTAACTAGTACAGACTTTCCGCACATGTGTACACACACACACACACACACACACACACACAGAGTAAAGAGGTTATAGAAGCTAAATAACTTCACTCAGCTAGAAAGGAACAAAACTAGAATCTGAACTCAAAAATTTTTTAAACCCCTAATTAGGTTTTCTTTTTTCCTAATTGTGTTTTCTTAACTGCTGTTCATCTTTTTCACCATTTAATGTCATGCTTTGTATAGTTTCAGAAATGGCAAGAGACATGTAAAATTTGATAAGTGTAGCTGTAGCAAGAAGATAAGGACAAGGACTGGCCAAATAGCTCAGCGGATTAAAGTGCCTGCAAGCAGGTGGAAGGGCCAGGGGCTCGATCCCTGGGTCTGCTGTGCCAGCCCCACCCCTGGGCTGTGCTGAGGCAGCATTTGAGACTGGGCATGGTGGTGCTCGCCTGTAATCCCAGCTCTTGGGAGGCTCTAAACAGGCAGGTCACTACAGGTCCAATCTAGTAGTGAGACCCTATACACCCTATAGACCCTTCCCTAAAATTAAAAAAAAAAAAAAAAGATAAGGACGTAAACTTAAAAAGTTAACATATGAAATGTTTGGAAATCGAACACTAGAAAAAGTGTTATGGAGGTAGTAGATGCAAACGAAGGGGCAGAAAGCTCAAGGAGGAGGCTGTCTTTGAGCTACACAGAAGGCAGCGACATCCTGAGTGAGTGGTTGATTATTGGGAAGGTGTGCTCTAGTTAGGGGATTTATTGCTTACAGATATAAGAGACAGTGCAATGGGAAAATAGTGAGTAGATCCATCTGATTAGAAGAGAAGATCCCAGGGAAGAGTGTAAAGGACTTTTGAACTACAGGGTAATATGATAAAATAGATGCTTAAGAAATGTCAAGAGTTATAGGTAAGGAAACTGATCAAAGGTGGATGAAAATCTAGAGTATAATGGGTTTTATAGGAATCAAAGATGAATCCACAAAGCACAATAAGTTTTTAAAAGTCTAGAGGACTGGCTGAAGGTAGCCAGGGAATCAGGTGACTAAATTCCAAATGAAAATGCATAGACGCGGGGCTGGTGAGATGGCTCAGTGGTCTGAAGCACCTACTTAGAACAAGCTTAGCAAACACAGGGACCGCGGTTCAATCCCCCAGCACCACATGCCAGCCAGCCCCGCCCCCTGGTGGGCTGAGCTGACCACACACACACACACACACACACACACACACACACAAATAAATAAATAAATAAAATAAAAAAAAGAAAATGCATAGACGCATGATGGTGCTCTTAAGAAGCTGAGTGAAATATGTGGAAAAAGAGACGCTGAGGGACATACTGAGTTTGTGGCAGTAAGAACATGCATGTATTCAGGAAAGATCTAGAGACAGAAGTCTGGAGCTCAGCAAGTTCAGGACTACAGAGACAGTGCAGATGGAAGAGCAGAGTAGATGGTAGAGTTCACAGAGGGCTGCAGAGATGTGAAGACAGAGAAGGGAAGGGGAAACAACCCAGTGGCTTTCAGTATGAAAGCCAAATTCAGGAGTGATGTGTGCTCTGACTTAGTTGAAGTAATCTTCCTGGGCAATGGTATTTAGGCCTGAAACTAAAGGGCAAAAGAGAAATTTTCATTTTTTTAAATTGATAGTTAATCTGGAATAGCAAGATAGACAGACAGGCAGACAGATCTTATTTAAGATTGAAGACCTTGATTCTTATTTTTCCAGCAATATGACCTTGGCCAAAGGAAGTTAAATTTGACCATGCGTAAGGTCCTTCCAGACTCTCAAATTCCATCTTCCAGACTCTCAAATTCCATTGTTGATCCCACAAGTATTGGTTAAGGAACTGCTGTGCTAGATCACCTCTTCAGAATGTGCTTGCTGCCATTGGTAATAGCAGACAGTCAGCCAGGTGATAGCTCATGTAGGAAGGAAGACACATTCATTGCTCAGGTTACAGTTCTCACCATCAGAGCTCTAAGGTGAGGAAAGAAAGCAGAAGTGATAGCCGTAGCATGCTGTGTGCTCTTTCGAGGGTTAACTGATGCGCTTCTGCAGCTTTGTAGGGTTGGGGGAATATTGCCCTGGGGAGGAGTTTCTGGCAGTGTAGTTTACTGTGCCTTCTTGGGTGCGCACCTTTTAAATTCAAACTTGGGATCTTGGTTAGAGTCCCGCCCCGCCCCGCCCCGCCATGGCCTAGTCCTGCATGCAGACTTGCTGGCCTTCCAGTGTGGACGCATCTGTGAGGATGGCGCCCCAGGTTATCAAATGCAAGCTTGCAGTTGCTTGGAAACCTGGAAAGCCTCTTTCTATAAAGGAGATTGTGGTAGCACCACCAAAGGCTCATGAAGTTCGAATTAAGATCATTGCCACTGCAGTTTGTCATACTGATGCAAATACCCTGTGTGGAGCTGATCCAGAGGGGTGTTTTCCAGTGATCTTGGGACATGAAGGTGCTAGAATTGTGGAAGGTGTTGGTGAAGGAGTTACTAAATTTAAGGCAGGTGGTACTGTCATCCCACTTTACATACCACAATGTGGAGAATGCAAATTTTGTCTGAATCCAAAAACAAACCTTTGCCAGAGGATAAGGTTCTCATGCTAAGGAGACAATATGATATTTGCACATGTGGGTCTAATTTATTTCACTTAAGAGTATGTTCTCTAGTTGCATCCATTTACCAACAAAAACTTCAAATTTATCCTATTTTATAGCTGAATGATACTCCATTGTATAAAAATACCACATCTTCATCTGTTCTTCAGTTGATGGACATCTGGGACAAACTGTGCTGTTATAAACATGGGTGCACATAAAAAAAAAAAAAAACAAAAAACTTGGGACCTTTGTCTATGGCTATTTTAAAGAAATCTACATTTCTCTAATCCCAATAGTTTATTTCCTAGGCCCTTCCCTCTTTACCAGGTCCAATGGAGCAAAGTCCTGTCTCCTAAGCAATAGGACCCAAGGTCCCAGCCCAGGTGCAGCATGGGTGACACCCTCTTTCACCCTCTTGGGATGCCCCCCATCACTCCATAGTACCCCACACACACCCTGCCCACAGAGTAGGAATTTCTGTCACATTCTGGGAACCCCCAGATCCAGTCCTAGTCCAGGCCTGGGGAGTGTGTGGGAGAGCTGCCTCTCCCCCCTACTCCACCTTGTCCCCTCCAGACTCAGCTCAGGCCTGGGGTGAAACCTTGCAGCTGCAATCCCTGCAGAAAGTGTAGGGGACAGAACCACCCAGCTAGTCCAGGAACAGAACATCTTGCCAGAGGGGCACAACAGGTTCACCCCCAAGGGCGGCAACAGGAAGGAACGGAGCACAACAGCCAGACCCAAGCCAGGCACAGCTGGATAAATCCAAACTTTATAGATCTACACCTGAACTTCAGTAGGTGCTAAGACTATAACTGCAACAAAGATCTACAAGGTCAGAAGACAGTGCTACACAAAATGACAACAAGAAGGAACAAAATGCAATCTCAGAACCTAAGCCCACCCATAACAAGTGCAGAGGACACTAACACAGAACAAATTGGGAATCACACAGCTGAAAGCAATGAATCAATGGCTTCTGAAATAAAGAAACAGCTGCAGAAAGGTATAGAGGAACTCAGGTTGGAAATGAAAAAAGAAATCCCTGAATTAATAAAATCTGCAGTAAAGAATCAAATGCAGAAACATATGGAGGAAACTCAGTGCCCACCCAGAACAAGTGCAGAGGACACTAGCTCAGCTCAGATGTATGAATTAATAGCGTCGATAGTAAATAAGCAACAGCAGAAAGTCATAGAGGAACTCAGAGTGGAACTCTTTTCTACTACAATAATAGGACCCAAAATTCTATTCTGCAAGAATATCCTTTTTGTTTTTTTTCTTTTGGCGGAGCCGGGAATTGAACTCAGGCCCTTCCTTGCGTGTGCCAGGGAAGTGCATATTCCACTCAGCCATCTCCCCGACCCCCCTGCAAGAATATTCAAAGGGGGCCCGCCAAATAGCTCAGCAGATCAAAGTGCCTGCTTAGCAGCCAGTGTTGGATCCC